AAACAGGCTTGTTCAGATGAGGTAATTTCCCTAAATCAGAGTAAAGAGGCTTATAAGTTTATTTTACACTGTAAAAATGTGTTTAATAAAATGTTAAATAATTTAAGCCTGCATATCAGCAGACTAAAATCTACGTTTGATTATGATCTTGCATTCCAGCACTGTTGTAGCTGTTCCTGTTACTGTGCTGCCCTCTGCTGGAGAAATACAAGTGAAACAAAAACATTACCATGGGGTAATGCGTTTCTAGGGACAAAAAGTGGACGCAGTCATCCGGCGTCTCTCAGAAAAACAAATGCAGTTCTGCTGACACACGTCCCACTTTATATCTGAACTGAATTATGTCACAGTAACTGTCAGAGAAAAGGACTTAAAAAGCATGCGTTTCCGCAAGGAAAAGTAATTTAGAGTTTGATGAAAAAAATGTTTTGTCATTGCACCAAAGGTAGGTCAGTGGGAGGGGTCAGTGTTAATGGTGTGTGTGGCCAGTCGTTACTAAACCACTGGCCTAATTTTTGGCTGAATACTGCGAGCCATGGTTTACAGTCACGCACTTCTCTTATCAGTCGACTGATTTTTCTTTCATAACCCCTCATTTCTAACATGCCCAGCCTCTCAAATGTAATTAGGGTCCAATATGGTATTCAGTTCTTTCTCTCTTTTTTGGCCTGTGGTGTGATCTGAGAGGAGGTCTGCAGCTACAAAGGCTCACCCTTTCTGTCTCTCCTAATCTCTCGCACCGTCTCCCTCTTGCCAAACTGTGTGAGTGTTGCTGACTTCCTCACAAGGCAATGAGACTCCACTCTGGTCTGTCTGGATGTTTTTCATCTGCGTTCGTTCTCGGATATTGAGGCGCTGCAGGACACGCGCAAATCTGTCAGTTTGCTTTTTTACTTGTTCTCCTCTTGAGATAACTGCTTGAACTTGAAGTTGAAATAAGGCTGCAAAGAAATGTATTTCAGAAACTCTTCAAAATCGAAAAGTTTATTGAAGGTGAGGTTGTTCTTTTCTGCTTCTCCACTTTTGCTTGTTGTTTTTTTTAAACATCGGCTTTTTTAAATTGCTGCCAGTGTAAAATATTTTGTAGCATTTATTTCCATCGGCTTTGTATCTTAAACTTGTGTCTGGTACAATACTCTCTGCTCCTTTTAGAAGATGCTTGATTTATCCCTTAGTTGTTCTCATTCACTGGAAAGAAATCCCATGATTTGAAATATTTGTTTTTAGCTGCTTAATATTTTCCATTTAACAACATTTCACAAGTTTGTAATTTTTCTAGATCATCCAGAATCCTGGTCCTCTTGTGAGATTTTCTATAGGATTTTGATCTAGGAGCTGAGATAACCATGAAAGAAGTTTTATTATTATTTTATTATGGGCTTTTTTTATACCTTTTTCAACCAGAAATGACCCACTGACATTTAAAATCATATTTATTTATTACAATATATTTTAAAAGATTTTCTGGTCATTATTTGCAGCAAATCTGACAGGAAGCTATTTATAAAAGAAACTGGCCCACAGCATGCCAGATCCTTCACCATATTTAATAGTTGGGAATTCTCTAACTATGAATCTTTGAGTTGCATTTTATTCTGAGTCACCATTCTGTTTGAAGACAAAGCTGGGTCTGCTTACAGTCTTAAATATTACATCTACAGTTATTTAAATTTTTGGCTGTGACTGGAAATAGACGAGTTTTGAGCATCTGTTTTCTGACTTGTGAAATCAAGACATCCTTCAGTGGCGTTTTCTCTCATCTTTCCCATTTTGATGAGCGGAAAGGAGAAGTTACCTGTCCCAGTCTATCCCAGTGAATGGCACATATGTGGAATCAAAGCTGGCACGATTTGAAAAAGTAGAGCTCTGCAATATTTTGAGTCACAGCCATCTATCTCATTATTAGCAAGATTGCAATTCAAAAGGACTGCTTGGATGCAATATTTAGTATTATATTTCTAATTCATGGCCATGCATGTAATGTCTGTTTTTGACTGCTGACATGCTAACAGACAGTGGTGAAGCGATATCATGATGAGAATATTCATACAATAGTATCTCAGTTACATGTTTTCCTGGTGCCGCTGCAGCCCTAAAACAAATACTTTCTTTGGATCTCTAGAAAGCCAGAAGAACTATAGATCAAGACCAGCTTCACAGAACCAGGACAGTCTGGTAGGTTGGAAAAAAAAAAACATAAAGAAAGGAGTTTGGATTTAAATACAGTACTGCATGCACCACATAATTCACTTTTCCCACTTATTTTATGAAATTAAAGCACAACAAATACTTTTTTAAAATAAGCCTCTTTCCATGCCAATTTTAATCCCCAGACAGACAAAAGGTTAGGGACTACTAATAAGGAGTTTATAAGTGAAAATGTGCTAAATTAAATTATGCTGTAGTTACGCTGTTTAAGGTGCCATGAATTGTATTCTATTTTTAACACAGGATTCTGACCCCACTGAAATATTAATGTACTTAAATTAAAATGTGGATTTTTAATTTTTTTTTATTTTTATTTCATTGTGGGATTATGTTGCGGCCGTAAGATATTAATGTATTCAATATATTTCCACACATCTTCACTAGAGGAGAGGATTCTGTTAATTTCTCACTAATCTGCTTTGGGGAAAAAGCTGGAGAATTCAGGATAAATGCATCGGGGGTAAAGTAAGCTTCAAGGAAACACGTGTTAAGTCATATTCCATCCTTGGAAATAAATTTTATAATTTAGACAAGCGCTTTTGGAAACACTTGAAGGAGGGGGAAAAATATTGTTCCCACTTGGTTTATTCTTAGATCTCTGTGCATTTTAGTTCAACATTCAAACTGACCACAGTAGCCTGGATTTCCAACCTTTAAAACAGTTTAAGAGCTTGTTTTTGTCAAGGATCTTGTTTCACTGTCAAACCACACTAAAAGTCACCAGGAGGTCAGCTGAAACCCCTTGAATTCATTCTGCATCTCCTCTCAGTCAGCGCTTCAAATGTCAAGCCCAAGAGCGCTCTGAGCGGGGTTTTTTTTCACAACTTTTATAACATCACATGCTTCTTTGACTTTATTGTTGCTGGCTCGCAGAATGGGCACGGTCTATAATTTTAAATTCTTAGGGAAATGGTTGTTGTGGTCTTTATTTGAGGAAAATAAAGTAGCGCCCACTCAGAGCAGATGTAAGTCAGCCAAGGCAGTGGTGATGGAAGTTGGCCAGCTGAAGTTATGGTTGGCCTGCACACAGAAGCATGAATGAATTTGCGTCTGGAGTATATTGATGTTCATCATTTACTTTCTCATACTGATTCTCTGCCCCACAAACATTAACATGAATGTGTTGACCTCTACCTTCATGTCATTCACTTAACCTTTAACCAGCACTTTAAGTATATTTAATGTGAAGCAGCTGAATCTAAAGAAACACTACGTCTTTGCTCTCTTGTGTCTCATCAGTATTTTTGGAGAAAGTCTTTCCTGACGCCTCTTGTTCACCTCATTCCGCCTCCCTGTCTTCAATTCCACGTCTCAGCTGAGCTTTTCTTTGTTTCTTTATCTTATGTTCTCACTGGAGGGTTTTTCTCAATATGCTCGTCTCTTTCCTTTGTACTTCTCAAGCTTTAATGTCTGTTATTCTCCCCCATTCTCGTTTTGCATTCCTGCACTATCATCCCTGTCCCGGGGTGCTATATCTAGAAGAAAGACGGTAGAGCTTTGAGGCTTTCTAGTTCTCACATTTGCCTGGAGACTCAGTTAGTTTTAGCTCTTTGGACTTTTTGTACAATTATTCATTGAGAAAAAAAACAAACCCAAATTAGGAGATATATGTTGTAACATGGACGAGTCGGATAAGTGGCGATGGTGTAACTGGTAGTTAAGGAGGCCCGGGTCCCATCAGAAAGAGATCCAGAGGAAGACATGCTGGAAGGGCTATATTTTTAGGGACTGAGAAGAAAGTTTAATGCCTTTATTGCTTTGCTGATTTAGTTGCATTTGTTCAGTTATCATGCTGAAATGCTTACATTTTTATTTTAAAGGCAGAGGCCACCAGATTTGTATTTTTAAAAACATCTCTATTTTCAATAAGTTTTCCATCTCTTTCACCATACTTAACAACAGGGAACGATGCTTTTGCACGTTTTTTTTTTTTAATAAATTTAATTTCATGCTAAGTGGTCCATTTTAAAAACTTAATCTTATTCTTTTCTGACCAAAACACACATTACCAGTTTAAGGTCCAGTAGAGTTTAGCAAACTGGTGGAACAGAAAATCAAAGTAAGTCATGGAGGAAAGATCCATTCAGAAAAGTAAAAAATCAATTCAAGTTTGCTTCAGTTACATTGTCTGTTGTTGTGGTGCTGATAACTACATAATTAAAAAATAATAATAATCTGTATTTGTTCATTTCGCTACAGATTACTCACATATCTCCTGGGTTCTGCATGTCTATTTTCTGATCCAGCACATCTGTGAAAATGTGATGACTTTGTGTTCCAATGACAAAGATGTCTCACTCTGCCAACAATCCTGCTAAGTACTTACCTGGAAAATATTTTTTTCTCTTTGTCTCCAACAGGTTTTTCCAGTCACAGACTTTCTGCAAGATCAAAGGTCAGTGTTATTTTCTAATTCATCATGAACATATATATAACCCAACAATAATGTTATTTAGAGCCGTGTTATTATAAAATTTGGCATGAAAAGAGCAATTTAATTTTAAAATGCAATTGCATCCTAAGACCACTAGAGGGAAGCAGAGTATTTTGTTGCAGAGGCCAATGTTTTGCTGACTTTTACACATATTAGAGAATAAGAGTTTATGTAGATCAAGAAAGAAAATAAAATTACTTATCATCTAACCAGATTGAGTGACTGTGCATTATTGAGCTCTCTGTACGGGTGTGTGTACTGCTTTCTCTTTAACTACAACATGTTATAGAGCAGGAGGATAATTAAAGCATCTTAGTCGCATTTGTGTGTGAATTACCTAACAAAACTGATTAAATTAGTTAGTTGGGTTGTTTTTTGGCAAGAATCCAATGATTCAAGCTTCCATTTCAACATGTGTTAATTCCTACCAATCTCTTCTCTCAGCCAGTCTCCTCCTTCTCAATCCCACTCTACTCCAGCGCCTCCCCTCTCTGGCTTCTGATAGGGCAGCCATGGAGTCAACAGAGGAGAGAAGCAGCCAGAGGACGAGGAGAGAGAGGGAGGGATGGAGAGATAGTTTGGGTATTAGGATAGAAACAAAGAAACGCTGCAGGTGTTGTGGAGTTGACCATGTCTGTTGCATGACTTCACTCAGTGGTTGAAGTCTGATAGCATTGGCTGTCAGAGGTGCAGGACTGGTTGGCTGATTCCAGCTCAAGTTTTACCTTATTCCTTCAAAGCTGTTTAGCTGATTTTAGAGAATATTGTGGAGTTCGAAAGCATGGCCCTTTTTACCAACGATGTGCACAGCCTGGGCTCCTATTACTGCCTGATCCGACGCAAGTTTAAGAGGAGGCGGAAGAAGCGCTCTGAACGCAAAGGTAACCCTAAGAGTTGAAGTTCTGTCGCCTTTTCTGATGCTGAGATGCAAACAAGTGTTTGCAGCTTTGAAACAAGTGGTTCTAGGTTGTTTCTTTGACTTTATGACTGCTTGCTGAGTCCAGAATATTACATTTATTTTTGTTTTTTATGGCTGCATATTTACAAAAAAGTTTATCCTAATTCACAGTCGATCTGTGAAAGTAGTTAGTTTGATTTAGTTCTTTTCCACGTTTGAATAAATTTGGGAAAAAATGCATGTTGATAAAATAGAATTTTTTTAAAATTTGCATTTGCTTTTTTGTTTATTTTTTTTGAAAAAATTAAAATTTCCCTTGTATATCTAATGCAAAAGACCTCTCCTCTTCTAAACGGGTGATATGGCCAACATTTGTCTTGTTTTTATACGTTTAAATTATCTTTGATGGGCTAAAAGGATCTCTGTAGAAATCTACTGCCTTGTTATTTACAGTCTCTGGATTCTGGATAAGAAATTGTGTGAGAACATTTTTTTTCTTCCTGTAATGACTTTAAAGTTTTTCATACCCCTTGCAGATGAAATCCTTATAGATTGTAGATTGTTTTGACAGGAGATGAGACCGACACCACTATAAATTCTATAAAACAACGTAAAGGGAGTGTCTGATTTGGAAAAAGTATTACTTTGTTTACTTTTATCAACCATTTTTATTTTTTTTTAAATTGTAGGCTTCTATTAAACCTATAATTGCTGTTCAGCTTCTTGCAGGTTTCCAAAGTTGCTTTGATCTTTTTATCTATGATGTCGATATCTTAGTCTTTGAGGTTGCAAGACCTCTCTTCCATTATCCAATTCTTTAGATTATTCATCGTATAAACATCTCAAACTTGACTGGACCATCTAAGAATTATTACTTTCACTCAAAAGAGATTAGTAGAGCAGAATAGTCCATCAAAACAACTTTTATGATTACAAGAAAATCTCTTGGCGTGGAAGCAAAATACAAACCCAACTGTGTCTGTATTAAACCTTTACAAAGACATAAAGAAATGGGTCACCCTTTGACAGCAGGTATTTTTTTCTGACAGTTGGACATGAAATAAGGTGAGGAGTTGAGAAATATTTCTGCAGTTCTTCCAGACGCGACAGCAGTATCTGATAAAGAGTAGGATGTGCAAACTTTTTTGTTTGGTTTTTGTCTACTGCATAAAACATTCTGATAAACCACTTTCTTTTCCAGAGAAAACAAATTGATTAATTGTCAGTACGTTAAATCTATGGCAGTAAATGAGTTCAATTACTAGGGTGAACCCTAAAATATCAAGATCATCTCCTTTTTTTGCCTTAAGAGACTCCAGAGATCTGTTTTCTTTGTCTTCCTTCCCCTCCGTGTCTCTCTGAGCGAGGCGGGTCGCGCCTCGTCATAATTGAAGTTGACTGACGAGAGCCCTTCAGTGCTCGGAGCTCTCCTGAGTTTGCTGCTCCGCTCCGGGGGATTAACCAAACAGAGAAGGTAGTAATTACTCAGGTGGCCACAGCTCAGCGGCAGCATTAGCCATGTCTCAGCCACTTGCTTTGACATCCGCCAACCTCCTCCGTACCACCGCCTCACCTCCTCCGTCAAGTCCATTCATCCAACTAAACCCACCTCTGCTGAGGGAGCATTTTTTTTTACCCTTTGATTTAAAAACTCCAGGTCTGCTCGCTCAGAATGAATATGTCTATCAGTATTACCCAGCTCTGTTTCCCACCTCTTTTATTCTCCCACTCTTATCACCTGGGAAGGAAATTTGCACTTTTCGCCGGAGAAAAGCAATGACTAAGCAGGAGGAGAAGGACTTTGGCCTGACTCTTGCTCTGCTGTAGCTTTCCTTGATTTCAGCTCTTTAGTGAATTCCTTGAGTTCCTGGAGGTTTTTTGTTTGTTGCTCCATCACTGACCATTTCAAACCAAATCTGAAAATTCCCTGTAACAATTTATCTTTATAATCTGGAAATGATCTCCAAATTTTCCCACCAAAGCTGCTTGTGTGTCACAGATTATTCCAAAACTTCTACTTCACTTCCAAATTACGCTATTTTGTGATCATTTCCTGTATAAAAATGTGGTTGTTTAAATATAAAGTTGTCGGCTCACTAATCAGCACACCTCAGGGAAAAAAAGAGACACGAACACTAGCTCTTCCCTGATCAGACACTTCTGTCTTCCATGTTTTAAGACAGCGACATGAAAAACACTGAGACCTTCAGGCCGTAATTATTGCATGTCACTCTCTGCAGCCACGTTGAAACAAAGCACGCCCGCTTTTAGGGTTGGGTGCTGCATAAATTTACAGGGTTTTCAAATTACTTAGATCTAATGTCAACGGTAAATTCCATCCTGTTATTCTTTAATAAGCCAAAAAATTTGAAAGTAAGATGTGGTTTAAAAAATTATGAAACAACTAACTGCAATTTTAAGAGGCCAAGCAGACAGACAAATTTTAGCCACAGAAAACAGGGTATCCTGGTGTGAAAGGATATTTTTTTATGCTTCAGGTAATGTTCAATTAGATTTTTGGGTTTAATCTATTATGAGACGAAAGTCTCGTAACTTTAGTTTATAATTGAACTTCTGTGCCTAATTAAAATAATTTAGTTTAAAGTCAAATGAGAAAAAGCAACAGATTTTAACATTGTATCTGTATTATATCCTTAAAACTGTTAGTTGTTTATTTAGGTGATTTTATCATTTCCAGACTCTAATAAAAAAAACACGCATTGCTTAAAAATATCAACAAAACAAAATTAAACAAAAACAGCAAAAGAACATAGAACAAGAGAAAACTAATACAGAAATATATAAACAATATTTGAATTCCTATCAATTGCAAGAACAGAAAGTGTGGACCAAAAAAGTTGGAAGTTGATTAAATAGAAAATGATATAGATAATTTGTTTTTTATACACAGCAAATTATCAAAATCAAGATGGAAAAAATCTTTCCTGTTTATTGTTATCGAAAATGTATCTACATCAGTAAAAGCAATAAAAAAAGCGTACAGTTTCTGAAGGCTGGAGTTAGGTATTGTATGAGTGAAGAGTTTATTACTCGCCTGTCAGTCAGGGAAGGGTTACATTAGTGAGTTCAAGTTCATCAAACAGTGAAAGAGATTATCCATAAGTGGAAAACAAGTTGTGACAATTGAGAACCTGTCAAATAGTGGACATCCTGGTAGACTCACCCTACGGTCAAACTGGGAAAAACTAAGCCAAAACTCCCCCACAACAATGGAGCTAAAAGTGATTCTTCAGTTATTGGATCATAGCTTATATGGTTTCAAGTTCAAGTTGTATTTAATATTTTAAGAACCCTTAAGAGTAAGCAAATGTTTTACTTTATCGTAATCATTTTTACCCAACATTTTGTCACATGGGCCAAAGCAGTGACCAAAATAGTGTTCTATTACTCAACAATAAATAAAACCTGACACGCAATACTTTAATTAAACAAACACACGAGTCTCAGCTGACGTTAGAAAAGGATGTTCCTTTCAAAAAGGGTTTTGCATAATTTCCCTTACTACATAATGTTCTAGGTATCAATTGGAAAAAATAGAAGTAAATTTAGTTATTTATAAGCAGTCAAATCTGGATTCACTTTTTTTTTTAAAGTGTATTGAGCCAAGTTTTAAGTGTTGATATTGTAGATATTTGAATTTGTATCTTTTATTAACACATTCTTACCTTTCTTACAGACAGGTTATTGACATAATTCTCAGCTATTACTCAACTCCACTCACTGGATATAAACTAAATGATGTATCAACCTGTTTCTGTGTGAAGGGTTGTGATTTAGCTCTCACTGAATTAACATATAGCACAGAGTGACTTTCAAAAGACTCAACTTAAGCATATCCCCGGTGCATCTCTCATAAATGTGGCAAACCATGACACTTGCAGACGATGCTTTCCAATGGGCCGTATATGAAAAATGGAAAATGGGGAACAGAGGCCTTTTCTGCCTCGCCAGCAAAATCTCTAAAATGAGCTTTTGCAACTTGAATAGTGTGGGAGGGGGCTCTGCACTGCCTGACGCTTCAAATCCATCGCTGTGAGGGGGAAGACTTTTCATGCAAGATTTTTTTCTCTTTTTTTTTTTTTTGTAGCTTCATTTTTCACTTGTTCCTGTATTTTTTCAATTTATTTATAAATTACTGAATGGTTTTTCTGAATGCCTCACATTTATTATTGTTATTTTCTTTCAATTGATCAGTCGGCCTTGAACAGCTCAGATTAACTTCTGACATCCACAGCAGACGAAGCCAAATAGAAAACACAGTCCCATTCATTTATATTAGATCAAAAAAAGAGTAGATGATTAGAAGCAGTGCCTGGCTGAGTACTGCAAACACAGCAACACTCTGTCATAATAAGAAATGAGTTGTGTCTGCCTGTCTCACTGTAATTAGCTTTGATTAGCATGCTGCTAATGACTATGACGGACTGTCGCAGGGGGAAAAAAAAACTCTACTCTGTTGTTCAAACCAGATCCTTCAAACCACTGAGGTTTGTTTAGCTGACGTGAGAGATTTTAGATTTCATAAATATGAGAATGTTTTACCTTTACTTTATAATACGCTCTGCAGAGAAGGAGCTAAGCCATTACTCCGTCTTCTTTCCATTCACCTCTTTGTCGTCTGTCACAACCTTTTCCATCCGACTGAATGCCCTGTCCCAACTGTCCATCAATTCCACCTCATCTGTTTGACAGCAGAAAGGCCACGAGGTGTGAAATTCAGCTCCTGCACGACGCCGACTTCAGTCGCAGCCCCACACAAAAATTTTACATGGATTCATCCACAGCTTTGCGGCATTTTACTTTCGGACCTCCCCCCCCTCACACATGGGTGCACACAAACATGTGGAAGTAAATGCAGTCAGGATCATTTCATCAGGCCTTGGATGTGATAAACGATGGTAGGTGTAAGGCTCCATGGACATCAAATCAAGGAGAACAGAGGGACAGAGGACATTGGTGTGA